GCTCTTATAAACAAATAAAATCAAGTTATCAAATATCATGAACCTTTTCCTTACTGTATAATTTAAACATTCTGATTAAAGAGCAGCGAATGAATCTTTCATAACATCTTTCAGAACAGATTCACATTTAAGAGCAGGGGCGTCACCTGGTGCTTTGGCGGAATGGGTTACATATAGTGAGAATCGGCTCTTTAATGTTTATTGCTAGCCTTTACAGAAAGATTAAAAAATACGGGGGAAATACAAGAAAATACTTTCATGGTATCATAGCGGGACAGAACTGTGAAATAAGGGAGAATCCCGGGAAAAAACAGGAGAGTTGACAGGTATGGATGCCAAACTATTTTCAAAGTGAGTCCCTTGAAGTCAAAACACCACCAAATTTATATCAACCATGAAAAAAAATTACAAATCAATTTGAAGTCAAAAAATGGACGTCCTTTGACATCCACACATTGATGCCCAATTTACCACCAAAATAATGACACAAAACTATTTTATTATAAGAGGGTTCAATTTCAAATTCAAAATTTACACTTAATTTTAAATACTTATTGTTTACAAAAACTACCTTGATGTCAAAACAAAATCAAATTGACATCTTACATCAGCATCAAAAAACTAATTCAAAATTGATTAAATCACTATCTTGTAGTCAACTAACATCTAATCAATTTGCATTTATGACTGGTGTTTTGATGTACTTGAAAAGCCCTTTCTGGGCTATTGCATTTTTGAAGAGTCTGAGAGCACTTAGATTTCATTCAAAGTATCTTAACATGTATTTAAAAGATGAATGAAGGTCTCAAGAGAATCCAACGACCTTAGGGTGAGTAATTAATAACAGAATTTCCATTTTTGTGGGTGAACTAACCCTTTAAACATCTTTAAATTCTGGGTTTCGATGCAGCTTCAACAAAACTGATTTCATTTCATGGCCATGAAAACAAATAATCATTGCATAACTCTTTTACAGAATCACTTGCACTAGCTTTCAGCAGACTGTTCTCTCTCCTAACAAAATGCCTACTTGGGCAAAACAACTGAGCCGTCTCCATCAATTAGCCTTGACTTTGGACTTTCATTAAGAGTAATTGACTTATATCTGCAGCGAGTCTGAAGAAAGACACTTTTAACTATCACGAAGCAGTTTGTTAAGTAAGAACACATGTCTTGGCTCAAGCTATGCCTGCAAGAGGTCCCCAGCCCAATGCAAAACAGGTGCCTGCCATGTAATACCCCATTTAGCCCCTGGGGCAAAGGTTATCCAGCTAATAGCTTCCTAGTGGAGACTAAGGAAGAGCTGAAAAGTAGGCCTGGCTTAAACATCTGGGACATATTGCACATACTTGCAACATGTGCTTCAGGTTCAATTAAAATGAGGCCTTGGCACATTTGTCCATTATTTTCCCTCTTCCTCCATCCAGTAAAATTGGGCCTACCCTGATCTGACCTCAGTATTTTACTGCTTGAACAAACAGAGGAGGTAATGAGAATGTGAGGTCATCAACAAACTGACATAGAGAAAAAAAAGAGACTAAAGGAAAGAAGTACAAACCAGTGCTTTGGATTACCAACAGGATTCATGTGCAAAATACTGTGGATTTTAAAATTGCAAGCTATGTTTTTAGTAGCGCAACCTGCCAGAATTCGAACACAATCTTAAAGCAATTAGTAACTTTTTGATTTAGTGGCTTATAGTGGTGTAACAGATCACAAATCTTGGACCCTTTTTCGGATCAGCCAAAAAAGGGGAGGAGACAAATGCAAATTGCTTTCCATTAATTACAAAAACAGTACTGCAAGAAACTTTGGGTATGAACAAACAGAACTTACAACCTGTCATTTTAATAAAAATAAAATAAAGAAATAACCAGCTGAATAAATTGATAAGTTAATGATGAATAAATAAATAAATTGTAAAATATTCAGTACTGTGAAAAATTCTCTGTTAAAACTCAAAAAGTTAAGATAACAAACCATGTGAGGAAACCAATTGCGACAAACCATTTAAGTAAAAAAATTAATTCTAATGAGTACTGTCAACTTAATCCATTTGAGTAAATGAATCATTTTGGACACAGTAAAACCCAATAAATGAAGAGAACTCAATCCAACTGAGTACTGTGAAGCCCAATTAGGTAAGGAAGCTCAAACAGTTTGAGGAAACCAATTGCAACAAAACATTTGAGTTAAAAAAAAAAACTGATATGTAAGAGTGCTGTGAACTTACTCCATTTAAGTTGATGTAATGAGATATTTGATTAACTTATTACCTTCAACACTGAGCTTAAAACTCTTTTTAAAAGAGTAGAATTAACTTTCAGTAATTTTTTAGGTAACTACACTCATTTCATTTGATAAAGTTTATTGTTGGGTTTTACAGTGTACTGTTGCCAATAACCTAAATGTATAAAATGTTTATTTAGTATAAAATGCACATTTACATTTATATTTAGTCTCATTTTTAATAAATGATTCAGTTAAACTCTATGTTTTATTGCTAGATGGATAATTTTTGAAGGATTATTTAGTGGCAAATTTTTGATGGCCACCTATTGGTTAAATAATGTAATTGCTGCCTACAACTTTAATTTTTGAGCGTCGTTAAATGCACATGACGGAGATTTTATTCCTGACCATCTTAAACTATAAACTGTTATGCCAGTACTTCTCTTATTCGACTGTTTGTAACTTCATAACTAACTCTAAAAACTAAAGACTGTATCTCTTAGGATTAATAAACATGCAAATCACCATCATTTATAATTTACGTTGCATGGATCTTGAGATCCTGATTTTTTATTATTAATCGTGCAGCTTACACTGAATGCATAAATGCAGGCCATGATCTGTTACACCCCTAGTGGCTAATTCTCATTCAAACCATTTAGCACAATTTGCTCATCTCCCAATGACTTTTGGGTTAAGGAATGTGGATAGGTGGCACACCTCCTTTTTAAAATCGTACATACGGTCGTACAACTCATGCCGTGAGTTAGCTACGCTAAAATAGTTATGTTTCCTAGTGAGATCAAGCTGCAGAATTCCTAGGCTGAGTGAAGGCTGATTCATTTAAATCAGTCACAAAAAATTCAATTAACAAATGAATAATTCATTGATCAAATGAATGAGTCACAAAATGAAGCTTAAGATTTAGCAAAATGCATCTATGCACCATCTTTCTGCACATTACGTCTTTGTGTGCTTTCTAGTTGTACTATTTCTAAATAAAAACAAATAAAAAAAAATTTTTTTTCTATTTAATTCCACTAACCTAAACATATGTTGTGCCAGAAAAATTATTAAACAGAGCACATCAGTAATCGCCAACGATTTAACCATAAAAATTAAGCAAAACATTTAAAACCGTGTCACAGTAACTACAGTATATTTACTCCCATGTACTTACTTATATCGAAGTTGATATTTAACTGCACCAAGGTATTTGGGTTGTTAGTCCTACACTCAACCCCCAATCTGGAGGACCAGGACATACACACATACAATATGGACAATTTAGTTGACCCAATTCACTTGCTGTGAGGCGACAGCGCTACCCACTGTGCCCCCATGCCACCCAACTACAATATACATAGTCAAATAAAATAATTAAAATAAAAATAGGTTTTGGTGCACTCTTAAAATGAAACTTAATTTAATTTAATAAAAAATTAAATAAATTAAATAAAACTATTAAATTAAATTAAATTAAATTAAATTAAATTAAATTAAATTAAATTAAATTACATTAAATTAAATTAAATTAAATTAAATTAAATTAAATTAAATTAAATTAAATTAAATTAAATTAAATTAAATTAAATCCCACTAGGATATTGCAAGTTCAGTAGTTCTTGAGATTAAACGAAAAAAAATTTTTTTCAACAACAAAAAAAATAATAATTAAAGCAAATAATGTCATTCTTAGGATGAAATATTTTTTAAAAGTCATTGTCAAATCATGGACGGTCTAAATATAAGACAACACAACATCTAATATCATATAAATAAAATTGAATACCTGAGCAGATGCTGCATCTTTCTTATTTTATTAAAAAGGTGCATGTACAACCTGACCACAGTTGACCTACTTGATATTTGTAAGTTTTGCAAAGCTGTATAGGCGAATCATAAGTCAAAGCAGCACTGATGCAAACTATAATTGATACCATTTAAATAATTCTAACCAGTAATGAAGAAAAGAATCAAAACTATGCAAAACTATGCAAACTAACACTATGCAAAAGGAGAAAGGACAGAGAAAGGACGCCAGAGAAAGAAAAAAATTCTAAAACCCCTATCAACACTCAAACTGCTTATTTAAAGTTAACCTTAGGAGAAAAAAAAACAACAACAAACCCTTCATAACATTAATATCAATTCAGTTCATTCTTCTATCTAAAACCTACAAAAATGCACTGTACGTATGTACACTTCATATTCTTCCATGATGTCACAGGTTATGTTTTTATCATTCGGAAAATTCGTATAGTCATTTGTATTGACCCATTGATCCAAACAAAATGCATAAGTACTTGTATTATGGTGGGCAATGACATGAATCTGCCTCAACAGAAACATTAAAAATGCTTCCTCGATGAATGCTGCTGGGGCATTTGGCCTGCGGTCATTTGAATGCTATTAATTGCACTTCAAAGGCCTTGAGAAATATCAGAAGCTCGACATAGAGACCCTGAAGCCAAGTTTATTTTTTCCTACGTGGTTCCCTTTTATTCTGGTTAAAAAGAAAAGATGTACTGGAACTGTGCAGACTTCAGACACTAGCAGCTCTGACAGATTACTGTAGACCTTGACTCCATGAAATGCAGGCGAAAGTGTTAAATACACAAGAAATAAATGACCATTTCGCTATTTTAACAAGGTTAAATGTTAGAAGCTTTATGTTTCCTTTACAATTTCACTTTAGAGAAGAGTATCTGAGCATTAAATACACAGTTGTGTTGGAACACTTGTTTGTGAATGGCACCGATAATTACCTTGTCATCTCTGTCAAAGTCTTCATCCTCGTCCTCCAGCAAATCCTCCACTGCTTGCTGATGTGCATTGTGAGGAGCAGAACAAAAGAGGGCAGGGGAAAAAAAGAGGGGGAAAAAACAAAGAGAAAATCAATTTCACATGTACACTTAGGAGCATCTCCACAACTTCGAGTGAAAACAAATGATAGCACGTATGGTCCTCTGATAGAAAGCAAACCCTCAGCTTCTGACCTCAGTCTCTAAAGTCATCAGTTGCGTCCTCTTGTCCATAAGGTTAAAACCTCAATAGAGCCTTTGGCAAAGGGAGGCTGATGACATAGAACGTTAACTATGTGCTTCAGTGGACCAGATCCAGGCCAACAATGGTCCCTTCAAAGCCCCTTCAGGTTTTCATCTTTAACTCGAGCACACAAAGAGCTGTATGCCTATGACCTCAAGAAATGCTGCTGGCTACGCGATCCTCCCAGAAGAACCCAAATCACAGACCAGCAGAAATGATGAAAGAGTGATGCTGAGAATGTTGAGAGCAAGACAAAGGGCAACAAATTGCTTTTCAATGTTTTGAACCATACAGGCATTCATAGGAACTACAAACACATGCTTTACACACATTCATGTGCTAATGTGTGGGGAAACCTGAGCACCCGGAGGAAACCCATGCGAACATGGGAGAACATGCAAACTCCACACAGAAATGCCAACTGACCCAGCCAGTGCTTGAATCAGTGATCTTATTGCTGTGAGGTGACAGCGCTACATACTGTGCCACCATGTCACCCAACTATAGTATATATAGTCAAATAAAAAATACAAATAAAAAAGGTTATGGTGCAAATAAAATTAAATTAAATTAAATTAAATTAAATAAAATAAAATAAAATTAAATTAAATTAAATTAAATTAAATTAAATTAAATTAAATTAAATTAAATTAAATTAAATTAAATTAAATTAAATTAAATTAAAAGAAAAAAAGAAAATTAGATTTCTCTAGGATTTTTCGAGTCTAGTAGTTTTTGAGATTAAACAAATAAATAATTTTATTTTGATAAATATTATTTGTAATACTTAATTATTTGCTTGCCTACATAATAATTAGTTATTATTACATAAACAATTATTGTTGCTCATACCTTGATATGTGCTATTTCTTAATTCACACACACTCACACTTATACAGCCATCTTTATGGGGAGTTCCCGTTAATGTAATGATTTTTAAACTGAACAAACTGTATTCAATTACCCAGCAATCCTGTCTCAAAAATAAATAAAACATAAAATATGAGCATTTTGTCATGATCACCAGCGATCCACTCCAGGCAAATCGCTGATAAACTACACATCACACTGACAATTCCCATCAATTCCCATCAAGCCGTTTTACACACACCGGTAGCTATTCACCACTGACACTCACACACAGCTGAATCTCGTCATCACAGATCATCTGGACTATTTATACACTACACATACACCAGTTTAGGACTGAGTCTTTGTTTGCAGTCATCATGTGTAAGTTGTATTTACTTTCTGGTTTTGCCTGCCATATTCCTGATCTTCCCTGTTATATCCTGCCGCCTAATTTTTGACCTTATGCCTGTTTTTGACTACATTTTGGATGCCCTGTGTGTACTTGTTTTGCTCCTGTTTTCACCATTGCCGGCTTACACAAATACTATTCAGTTGCACATTCAATTGCATTATTCAATTGCACTTGGATCCTTGCTTGTCCCTCGTCTTGCTCCTGTACGTGACAAATTTTAAGTAATGAAAACAGGATATGTCTTCATAAACTGCCATAGTGTAATACCTAGGGCATACTAATGTCACTATATAATTTTGTGTCTTTGTAAACCTCTTAAAAAACAGAGAACACACACACAAAGTCATTCACTCACTCGCTCACTCACTCAGTATGTATAGATGAATTACCGTTTTGTAAACATTGAGGATAAGGCTGCAGTGAGTTTGCAGAAAAAAAAAAAAAACTGGAGCACTAGCATTTACAGTGAGGTAATAGCATTCGATGTGAGATTAGTGATAAGTTATATTGATTTTATATATATATATATATATATATATATATATATATATATATATATATATATATATATATATATATATATATAAATATATATATATAAACATTACTATGTAGTGCGTCTGACAGGTCAATTTGCGATAGCACCCTACCAATGGATATTGGATAAGACAAAATGGCCAAGCATACAGCCCAAAATATACAACTATCCCATTGAAAAGCTATCTCACTCTGCTTTTATAAGAGAGAAGTTAAAGGCCTACAAGTGTGGTTCCATGAAATATTGTTCCATGATTATCAGATTCAAAACTATGTAGTGCTAAAAACCGAGGTTCTGCCTAGCCAAAGACAAGGAAAGAAGACGGAACTGTACAAGGCCTGTGTAATCATCAACAAGCAAAACAACTGCATTCTGACAGCAAACTGCACCTGCACAGCAGGAAATGTAAATGTACATTTTTACATTCCATTCTAAGCATTCAGTGCCCACAGTTTAATTCACTATATTTAACTGTTTTTTTTTTTTGCTTAAATCATTACTGCATTCAAAAATGAGTAATATGTCTGATTTAGCATAGCATGAACTTACCTGATATGCAATGGGAACTGCAGAGTCGAGCAATTTTAATTAGGTTCTCACTACATTCAGTTCTTCTGATGGCTGTTAGCCAAAGGCATCTACAGTTGGCATTAAAAGCAGGTACGGTAAAATTTAAGTTTTCTACTTTTCGATTTTGGCAACCTACTGCACAACACGACATGTTTGCTATTGCAATCAATGTTTTTTTGCAACTGGTATGTGTGGTTAAACCCGTGTGATCTCATATGTGACGTATGCTGGTAATTACACTATACACGTTCCAGAATAACCCTTTGAACTATGTAGCAAATAAATAAATTGCAGCAGCAACATGCTACACAATGGCCAGCAACCACATGACCCACACCCACAGCATCGTAGCCACGAGACATTGCCTTAACTATTTTTCTCAGTTCAAATTGTTCTTTTTTATTAATCTACCTAATTTACTTTTCCTATAAAACCAAAACATTTTCACATCACATTCACTGATCCTTGGGAAATTGCAATGATAGATTCTATATACAGTAAAACTGTTTTACTAACATACGCCACTTATGCTTTACATTCAAAAGCGTAAAAAAGCTTCCTGCGTGAGCTGATAATTTGGCAGTATTAATTATTCAGATCTCATTGGCTTGTTAATCAGAACTGTAGAAACCAAAATAATCAGATGATATGTTGGCACACAAATAAAGAGTTTATCTCGGTCAACCGAAAACATTATATTTGGCCTCAGTGGCTAGCGGGAGCCCGGAGGAGTATGTATCACATGTCTGTTTTTGTTGCCGGAGGACTGAAAAGACATAGATCATTATTTTTGTTCTTGAGGTTCCTCCTGTCAATCCCACATCAAAGCTTCAAGGTCATATGTGTGCTATTTACATACGACAACTCGGGCATCTGAAAACAACAAAAAGCTACCAGGGGAGGAATACATCTTCTTTTTGATGATTTTTTTTGGGGGGCGGCTGGGCTCCATGAATTTCATCAGTTTTTTGTGACATCCAAAAATTGTTACTTAGCAAACAATAGCTTTTGTTCTTTTGTCTTGTCTAAAAGAGAGAGTGTATGGCTGCTATAAGCCTCTTATGTAAATGCAGCCTGCGGCAGAAACAAAAGGAGGGTTCAGGATAGATACACGCAGTGTTGTGAGGAGACTAGCGATGGTGTTTTGCGGTAGTCTAATAGCACACGAATCGACTGGAAGAGCGATGTTGCTCAGACGCTAGGTTAGCCAGGGGTCATATGCAGGGAAATGCAATGTGGAGGAAGTTGAACTTCAAGCAAACCCACGGTAGCCTGAACTCGTAGGTTCGGCAGTCAATATGTCTCACTTTCAGACAGAAATCCAAACTAAAATAGCATCAGAGCCGTTGTTTGGCCTTTCTGTAAGCGGCAGCACCATCTCTGGACCAGTGGCGTGACATACATCCCGGCGAGTTAATGCACTTTCTCTTGCCTTCTGCCATCAGTGGAGGAAGAACCCTGCTATCTACACTTTTAATTCTAACCTTCCCCGTGACAGGTGCGCTGGGAATAGACGCCCTAGCTAGACAAGCCATCCAACATGAAGATATGCACTTTCATTTTTTTCCTTGCCTCTCAGCTCTTGCACTCTCCCCTCCTCCAGCTCTTCTTTGAAATGTGAGACATCTCTAGCGTCTCCAGCTGCTCAGGGGCTGGCCCTGCTTTGTATGCCGCGTGTGGACGAAAGGCCCGGGAGAGCCCAGGCCTGGAAGGCTGATAAGGGCTCTCGCTGGAGCACATCGAGCCCAAACAGCCTCTTCACAGACTGTCAGAGCCCTGCTGGTCAGAGGGAGGGCTTGAGTTTGCGCCAGCACTGGCTGACTGTGGTCTGACCTCTGCAGGGGCTCGAGTCAAAGAGTACGACTGTTGGCGCACAAAGAAACTCTGTTGATTCTGTTTAGGCGTAGTATTACGTTTCAATAAAAGCGGTCATGATTCAAATGTGAGTACAATGGGCAAAATAATTGCTGGGATGTGTGGGAGAGGGACGGAGCAGCAAGAGAGTCTCTTTGGGGCTGAGCTGTACGGGGCACGCAAGCCATCGGGAGGACGCACCAGGGTCGTGCACATCCAGAAGCCACTGGAGTCAACGGTGTCGCCGGTCTGTAATCCGCAGAACCCACAGGACCCAGAAAAACACTCTGGCTTTCTGTTCCGTAAATAAAAGCCTGGCTTCTCGAGACAAGCCTGCGTCAACAATGGCAGCAGCAGCAGCCGTGACAAAAATCACACGGCGCTGCAGCGTTGTTAGCAAAATCACGGGTACAAAAGTTCACAAAGATGAAGTTCAGGAGCTGCCAAAGTTGCTCCCCGCCTCGCCTCCAACCTCGCCTGCGAGCCGTGGCAGCACAGGGGAAATCAGCAGGGCAACAAACGCTGCCAGTTCAAAGTGACGTGACCTTTTG